CTCTGAATGAATATGAAGAATTATAATTACAGTTTACATGAAAGCCAGAAACGAAATATAATTATTTCTACATGTCCTAGAATCCTCTGTATGTTGAACAATATTCCCTTGTTCACTGAGCCAGTATAAAATAAGACAATTGAGTTTTAAGCATATCAATACAATGAAGACAAATGGAAGATATCATGCCATCTTTTGTCCTCAATTGAAAAGACTTAAATTACAGTGTTCTCATAAAAACAGTAAAACGACATCCCTGTTTTATTTTTTTGCTTGACCTCAGACTCTAAAAAATTTATTTCATATGAAGATACCAATTTTTGGGCTTTGGTGTTTTGGATTATCGGATGTAATCACTGAGATCATGGAGATATTGCCGACACTTTAATGGACTTGAATTTGAAAGAAAAAAAAAAGATTTGATGTAAGGATTGGTTTATCGGAGGTTTATCATGGAGGCCGAATCTTTAATGGACTTGAATTTAAAAGAAAAAAAGATTTGATAAGGATTGGATTATCGGAGGTAATCACGGAGATCTCGACTTTTTAATGGACTTGAATTTGAAAGAAAAAAAAAAAGGATTGGATTATCGGAGGTAATCACGGAGATTGGATTATCGGACTTTAATGGACTTGAATTTGAAAGAAAAAAAGATTTGATGTCAGGATTGGATTGTCGGATGTAATCACGGAGATCATGGAGATATTGCCGACACTTTAATGGACTTGAATTTGAAAGAAAAAAAGATTTGATGTAAGGATTGCATTGTCGGATGTAAAAGATTTGATATGACACTTTAATGGACTTGAATTTGAAAGAAAAAAAAAAGATTTGATGTAAGGATTGGTTTATCGGAGGTAATCACGGAGATCATGGAGATATTGCCGACTTTTTAATGGACTTGAATTTGAAAGAAAAAAGATTTGATGTAAGGATTGGATTATCGGAGGTAATCACGGAGATCATGGAGATATTGCCGACACTTTAATGGACTTGAATTTGAAAGAAAAAAAGATTTGATGTAAGGATTGGATTGTCGGATGTAATCACGGAGATCATGGAGATATTGCCGACACTTTAATGGACTTGAATTTTGAAAAAAAAGATTTGTAAGGATTGCATTGTCGGATGTAATCACGGAGATCGACGACACTTTAATGGACTTGAATTTGAAAGAAAAAAAAAGAAATTGGTTTATCGGATTTCACGGAGATGGAGATATTGCCGACACTTTAATGGACTTGAATTTGATGTAAGGATTGGATTATCGGATGTAATCACGGAAATAATGGAGATATTGCCGACTCTTTAATGGACTTTAATTTGAAAAAAAAGATTTGATGTTTGGATTATCGGATGTAATCAAGAAATAAAAGATTTGATGTCTTTAATGGACTTGAATTTGTCGAAAAAAATATTTGATGTAAGTTGAATTATCGGAGGTAATCACGAGATCATGGAGATATTGCCGACACTTTAATGGACTTGAATTTGAAAAAAAAAATAATTTGAAAATTGGATTATCGGAGGTAATCACGGAGATCATGGAGATATTGTCGACTCTTTAATGGACTTGAATTTGAAAGAAAAAAAGATTTGATTGGATTGGATTATCGGAGGTAATCACGGAAATAATGGAGATATTGCTGACACTTTAATGGACTTGAATTTGAAAAAAAAAAAAAAAAGATTTGATTGGTTTATCGGAGGTAATCACGATCATGGAGATATTTTTAATGGACTTGAATTTGAAAGAAAAAAATAGATTTGATGTAAGGATTGGATTATCGGAGGTAATCACGGAGATCATGGAGATATTGTCGACTCTTTAATGGACTTGAATTTGAAAGAAAAAAAAAGATTTGATGTAAGGATTGGATTATCGGAGGTAATCACGGAAATAATGGAGATATTGCCGACTCTTTAATGGACTTGAATTTGAAAGAAAAAAAAAAGATTTGATGTAAGGATTGGATTATCGGATGTAATCACGGAAATAATGGAGATATTGCCGACTCTTTAATGGACGTGAATTTGAAAGAAAAAAATATTTGATGTAAGGATTGAATTATCGGAGGTAATCACGGTGATCATGGAGATATTGCCGACTCTTTAATGGACTTGAATTTGAAAGAAAAAAAGATTTGATGTAAGGATAGTAAAGTTATCTAGTTATTTACTAAAACTGAGTAACATAGATCCTTTTTCTCGGCTTTCTCTTCAGCATAACCATCTCCTTTTACATATCTTCTTTTTACGTTTTCTTTAAGCTCTTCCTTTCTTCTGTATCTTGTCTGAAAAATGTTCTCAAAAATGCAACCACCCCTTCTCCGCCAACAGTTTCTTTTCTCGTACTTTCGTTCACTTGCTTACCTGAAAATTACAATTTTCACACATTTAATATCCGTCTATATTTCTGAGATGGTGTATTATGTACACTATTTACCTTGTTCGGACTATTGTCCTCATCTATTTTGCCATATTTATCACAACGTTTCGGCCGTTGTACGGACCGGCCTTCTTTAGACATGGCACGTCTAACTAGAACAGTCTGCCCTAGCGAGCGAAATAAAGGGTTCAGTTCGACATTTCAAACACCTGAAAAAGGCCGGTGCCTACAACGGCCGAGGTGTTGTGATAAATATGGCAACAAAGATAAGGATGATAGTCCGAACAATTTAAAGTGTCAAACATTTAGATGCAACGTTAATTGCCATCTTCTGTCTTCTTGAAACTGGTTAATCTTCTTTTCTTTCTTCATTTCTTCCCCTACTCAGTCTTTTCTCTAACTTTCATCTTTGTAGCCCCCTGCTTACTTGTGACATTTCCGCCTTGCTTGAGGTGAAATGAAAACAAAATTAGCCCAATCAGTTGTTAACTGTGACAAGAAATTGCTTCGTAATTCTAACGCCTCCAGAACAAAACTATTCTATTTAATCGTCTTAGGAAATATTTCTTTGCTTTCAGTCAATATGGCTGGTGCTAGCCACCAGCAGAGAAGCTCATTGTGCCTTTTCGGTATAAGATTTTCCATTGATATGATTTGAATAAATTCCTAATTCTGCGTCTGGAAAATTTGGTACTGAATATCGTGCTAGATATTGCTTTGTCAGAATCTTGCACCTTTATATTCCTGTCGTTCTTCCATGTATCTATTATTGTTACCACATCTGGTCTAGAGTGTCTGCAATTTATCGAGATATTTTTGACAAAATGTAAAGAAGAATCCGTAATGTTAAATGTTCCAACCTGTCATCCTGACTTCATGTCATTTTCCCACGCCGTAAATTAGCTTTACCGTGTCTTTTCTAAGAATATTTCCATGGCATTTGTTCTTAAACGTTGTCCTTTTTGGTATCTTGATAGCATAAATTTAAACGTACTACTTGATTAGCAGCTAAGTAACCTTATGAGAATATTGAAACTGCTAGAGCTACAATTAAATTAGTTTCCTGTAATTTCTTCTCTCGCAAATCTCACCACTGAAATTAGTTTCAATTTTCTTACATTACTGACAATTACGATCTTCAAAAATGTAAATGCAATGTCAGTCGTCATATTTTATTTTTATAAGTAATGAAACGAATTTTCCATTCGGCTAAATAACGTTTCCAAAATTTCGTTCACACTCAATAAACCTTTACGTCGTACCAGAATATCGCACTTTCGTTTGGTGGGAAATGATTTTAAAAAAAAGTTGCTGAATTCTCAGAAGGTTTCTAATAGCCATTCAAATGTTGGTCAATTTGCAAAAAATCACTTTTCATTTCATAATATTCCGTTTAACTGGAATGAATATATCGCAGATAAATATAATTCGTCAAAGCTGTGCTTTATTTGTTCAGGCGATAATGCCACTGTAGAGATTCATGCGGGTTACTATTTTATTGTCTTCGTTTGCTGACGAAAATATCATACACGGGCTATTGTAGTATGAGTTATCATTTCGCTTTGTTTCTACCTGAACATAACCAACAAAGGTGTTACCCGATTTCAAAATAAACCATAAACAAAGTCGTTGCTTTCAGTAATACATCTTTCGTTTTATTTTTACTTTCTCATCAATAAGATGAAGCTATTTTTTGCAGGCCTGTTTGGATTAAAGAGACGGTATTTTGAAATGAAAATGGCAGTGATGCCAATACATGTCTCGATTCGTAGAAAAAAAATCCACGAATAAGTAGGAATCTAAGTCTGCCAAGAGTTAATATCTAATGTGCACTATTTGATAATCTGATTGCCTGAATCTTATCCATCAACGTCTTCAGGCAAATTTGTTACGTGCATATATACTCTATCTGTTTCGTGGTTAAGAAGGAAAACAGCGATTCTAATTTGAGTTGATTTAGTTATGGAGTTTCGGATATTTCTCTTCGTCTTGTTCAAGTATCGGAAGTATTTCCGGTCAGATTGCATTGACTGAATCAGCACAAAAGAAAATATTTTTTTGAGATAAAAGAAAGATGAAATTACGAAAACTGAACTAGAATAGACATCAGAAAGAAAATTAATCAAAAAGAAATTTTGGCGCGAAGATTAATATAGCAAATGTAATGGAGATTCAACAAGAGAGAAAGGAAAAAAAAGGATGAAGAAATAAAGAATGAAGTTGAGAACTATTGTTAGATGAGAAGATATAATAGGAAGGAAGCAGAGTTAAAAGATACAGGCAATAAGAAAGAAAAAAAGAAAGAAAAAAAGAGGGAACAATTGTTAGGTGAGAATATATAATAGGAAGGAAGAAAAGTTAATAGGTACAGGCAATAAGAAAGAAAGAAAGAAAGAAAGAAAGAAAGAAAGAAAGAGAGAGAGAACCATCGTTAGGTGGGAAGATATAATAGGAAGGAAGCAAAGTTAAAACGTATAGGCAACAATAAAGAAAGAAATAAAGAAAGAAAGAAAGAAAGAGAAAGAACCATCGTTTGGAGAGAAGATATAATAGAATGGATGAAAATGTAAAAACGTAATGAAAATTAGAAAGAAAGAATGAAAACCATCGTTAAATGAAAAGATATAACAGGAAGGAACGAAAGTTAAAAGGTACAAGGAAATAATAAACAAGGATAACGAAACAGAAGGATTTGAACGAGGATAACGAAACAAGGATGAGAACGAAGATAAGGAAACAGAAAGATGAGAATGAAGATAAATGAACCAGAAGAGTGTGAACGATGATAACGAAAGAAAATGATGTTAACGAGGATAGCGAAACAGAAGGATAACTAAACAGAAGTATGTGAACGAAGAAAAATGAAACAGACGGATGTGAACGAGGATAATGAAATAGAATTAAGTGAACGGGTGTAATGGAACAGAAGAATGTGAACGAAGATAAAGGAAACAGAAGGATGCGAATGAGGATAAACCTAACAGAAGGATGCAAACGAGGATAACGAAACAGAATGGTGCGAACGAGGATAACGAAACAAGGATGAGAACGAACATAACGAAACATAATGATTTGAACGAGGATAACGAAATGGAAGGACGAGAACGAAGATAAATGAAACAGTAGTGAGTGTGGATAGCGAAAGAAAATGATGAAAAGCGAGGATAGCGAAACAGAAGGATAATAAAACAGAATTTAGTGAACGGGGGTAAAGAAACAGAAGGAGTTGAACGTAGATAAACGAAACAGAAGGATGCGAAGGAGGATAACAAATCAGAATTTTTTAGACAAAGATAAAGAAAGAGAATGATCTTAACGAGGATAACAAAAAAGAAGGATGCGTACGAAAATAAATTAAACAGAAGGATGTGAACGACGTTAACGAAACAGAAGGATGTGAAAAAAGTAAATGTGACTGTAAGAAAAACGAAAACTAAAAATATGAAAATGTAAGAAAAATATAAGATGTGAATAAATAAATGAGGAAGCGTTGTTTTACCAATTTAAAAAATATCAGACATAAATGTATCAGAAAATACACATTTCTCCGTTTGCTGTTAGTCTATCATATTCATTAACTCTAAACTATTATCATTTTCTTTATTTCTACATGTACCATGTCATTACTTTTGTTAACTTCTTTGTTGTGTTTTCGCCGCTTAGATATAAACATATGAAACTTGATTTGAACGAACGAGGAACATGTATGATTTTTTTGGTTTAGCTTGGTTTAGTTTATTTTGTTGTACAGAATATTCACCTCAATGAGATATTTAATTTCGACAAAATTTTTATTACTGGTAATATTTTTTCTTCTAAAATATATTGCTAGTAATATTTGTCCGTAAAATCTATTGCTGGTAATATTTTTTCAAAAATGTATTGCTGGTAATAATATATTTCTAGTAATACTTTTCATTCAAAAATGTATTGCTGGTAATAATGTATATCTAGTAGTAATTTTTATTCAGAAATTTATTTCTGGTAATAATGTATTTGTAGTAATAATTTTTATTCAAAAATGTTTTGCTGGTAATAATGTATTTCTAGGAATAATTTTTATTTAAAAAATGTATTGCTGGTAATAATGTATTTCTAGTAATAATTTTTATTCAAAAATGTATTGCTGGTAATAATGTATTTCTAGTAATAATTTTTTCAAAAATTTATTGCTGGTAATAATGTATTTCTAGTAATAGTTTTTATTCAAAAAAAATTGCTGGTAACTTTTTTTACAAAAACGTATGGCTGGTATTAAAACATATTTTTACAGTTTTGTAGAGTTTGACACCACTTTAGGGATTAACTATTTGCCCAAAGCTGGGACCTCCTACAGACACGGATCAGGGAACACCAGCAATTAAGAGTTGTTTCCACACTCTTCAAAGCGTCCTGATCAGAGACCTTGCTGTTGGATGTAGTTTATCGTCTTACCAAGGACGAGGATGCAGTTTACTGTTATATACATAACGAGTTGGGTTTTAAAATCGAAATATATGCTACCCAAGAGGAAATTATATGAAATATGGCATCGGAGTAAGTGTGACGTCCCCCGGTGTCGTTGCGCCAAATGTGACGTCTGCCTGGCTGCGCCGCCGTGCTGTCCTGTCCACGGCGCCAGTTGTAACGTCACCCCATCTGTCTCCGCGCCGTCGCCGTCCTATCCTGTCCCGTGACGACCAATGTGACTTGGTATTGGTCGCGGCACCAAATGTGACGTTCTAACCTTTTGCTGATTCGGATGGGAATCTGGTTAGATTCGGTATCAGCCTTGTCGTTCCCAGCTCGCCTCCAACGTCTGGTTACCGAAGTAACTGTTTTGATTTCTAGTCTAACCTACCAACGTTGTGATTTGATCTTAGGTAGACGAAATCAATCAGTCGCCGGGCCGTAATGCATGCTGAGTTCGGACAAGGGTAATATCGCACAAGTATATGTAAAAGAAAATAAAGTAATAACTCGAAAAGTTCAAATGTGTTAAAAAAGGATAACAATATTTTATATCTGGTTGCTGAATACAGGACAGAATCTTCCTCCCAACCCGCTATATGGATCGTGACACTTTGTGTTTGTTTGGCGAGTTTTAACATCTTAAGTTGTTTGTTCTTTAAGAAACTGGTTTTGGTGTATCTTCAGGTGATTTTCGTAAAACTTGTTTTGGTGGTGTGAGTCAAAATCGTTTTTCAAAAATAAATTGTTCTTGATTAGAAGTTGAGATCGATAATGCGCGAATTTTAGTCAGCTTCTGCGAGGCGGGTCCTCAGAGATCTCAGCTCACTGCAACTGCTTGCCTGTCTGTCACCAACCCCAACTGGAACTGCTTTTCACTTACTGCGACTCTGCTTATATGGACGCCGACCAAAATTTTTGGAAGTCTTTTGTCTTCCCACCTTCTTCTGTTCTCAGATTGGTATCTCACCATACCCTCAGAGGGTGTCAACGGGTTTCCCCTCTCTCTCATAACGATCTCTTCAATGGGTGCCAACAGGCTTCCCCTCCTACATCACATGATTACCTTCGCCTAACGCTCACGCCAGCATTCAGCCAATGGGCGCCCAGCAGTGTGGGTGTGGCTAGACTAGCCTCGGTTTAAAAAAACCTTGCTCAAAGAAAAAAAAAATCTCCTTTTTTTTTCTTTTTCTTTTCTTTCGTAGTGTGGTCCCTTAATCGCAATTCTTATCCTAAATGTCACCTGGAATTCATCACCAGAGACCTGCGCCAAACAAGTGGGTGGTCATCCGATGAGATCGCATTCTGGCGTTAATTATTCCTGATAAAATAATTTTCTTATCATAGCCAGCTCCTGGCACAAAACAGATGTCTTTCCCAAATGACATGGAGGTGGTCCCACGGACATTTTGGTTTCGGTCAAGCTTGACCTAATTAATTTTTATCTCTTTAGAATTCTGCGAGAGGTCGCTTGTCCAAATTGAAATTTTTACCATTGCCATGGGCAGATTGGATATATCTTACTCGCCGCCCCGTAAAATAAATCAGATTAAATTCGAAACATCCGCGACCTTACTTTCCTCGCTAATGAGAATAAAACCTTTAGCATTTTTCTTTGTTAAAAAGAATAACATCGCTTAGTCTCCTTTTCGTGATGGCTTCTTATCACCCCTAATTTAATTCTCGCTTTTCTTTTTTCTTCTTTCTTTCTAGCGACCTAAATAGTGTCACATAAGCATTGCGTAGTAATGATAGTATTTGCTGTTCCCTTATAAAAATACATTTGGCTATCAGTGAGAGAGCTGCATGTGAAATTGACAGTGTACATTTATAAAGTCAAGAAAATAAGTCCAGTAGCTGTTATCAAACCTTCCAGTAGAGATGGGGGGTTTCATTCCTAATCTTGTTTTTGAAGTAACCTGGAATTTCACCATCTTCATCATGCAATTATTTTGTCTTCAATTTACATGTGATACCAATGTCAGATTGCTGCTGCTGTTGAACTTCCTCAAGTGAAATTGTTTCTTTTATTTGGTACAGTTCCTTGTGGTTCTCTAGCGTGAATATATAAAGTTTGAAAAAGTGTGGTCTTCACCAAGGCATATAAGCTTTTCTCGCTCAAAGCTATATCCACCAATGAAGCATTGTAATATTTGATCGTTGTGTAAGAGAATTCCAGTAAAAACAAGGTTGGGTGTGGAGACGATTAGTGGTGATATTGATTGATTTCCTATTTATTGTGTAGGCCGACCTAATTGTCAAGGGCTTTGAATGTGATAACTGAAATGTGATTGGTCGATTTAAATATAACAAATATGAGTCTCTTAAGGATAGAGAAAAAGTTCTAAAAAGTGGATTCCGGACGCAGATAAGTAATACAAAGAGGAAGGGATAGGAAAATGTTAGATAAGAAAATTGTGTGAAGTACTGAAGGTATATGATATGTCTATAAGAAAAGTACCATTCATACATATTCTCTCTCATTTAATCATTAAAATAAACAAGTGAACAGATTATTTTTATTATTCATATAAACAGTAAATATAATAGATCCATGAAGTTTCGATTGATAGCTTTACTAGCTTCTTCAGATATGTTACTCAAAATAAAAATTATCTGAAAACGCAGTAGGATACATTGGACAATAAGTCGTAATAAAGTAAAATATTAAAAAAAATAAAACGTCATAAAAGATTAAATTCCATTTTGGAAATAAAAAATCTCTTTGAATCGCATTGATATTTTAGACTACAAAGAAAGGAAACAGAAAATATGCCGAGAAAGCAAAAGAAATAGTCAACTTGTTGAGCAGATGCTGTATTCAATTTTAAAATACGAGTATCGAGCCATACTCTACATTTTCAATAAGTTTTGAATTGCCTGAGTGACGAAAATTCTGTACAGTACACCAATATGGGAATTAGCTTCATTGCGTCAATTGGTATTACTTTCATATGTAAATCATGTTCGTGTGTGAGCGCTATACAATACAGGTAGCATATTGTTCCGATCTTACCAATCAATGTGTGTTCCAAAACGGAGCCAGAAACGAGTCATTGTTGGTGCTTTTAATCAATACGTGAGAGTCGTTAAAACAGCGAAATCCTTATCTGCGGTCATTTTCAAGAACGGTAAACGAATTTTAGCGCTGACGAAAGAAGTCTGAATAAAAATGGTTTCTATTTGTAACAGCTGAATCATCCTGGAATATCCCTGACTTTTTTAATGCTTCCGACATTTCCTAAAGAAGTAAAAGGTTTCATGGCCCCTACTTATGTCAGTTTAAATTAGAACAACTGGGCGCATTTGGTATTTCGCCAGTGGTTTCAGTCGGATGGTATTTGAAAAGAAAACAAGGAAAAAAATAGGGGAAAGGACGGAAAATAAAACAGAAGGAAAAAAAAGCATGAGGCGGAACTGATATGAAGATGGAAGAAACCAGAGGAAGAAAAAAAAATGAGGGACGTTAGAAAGGGAAAGGGTTAAGAAAACATGGTTGAACCAGTTGTGCTTAAATGATATTTCGGAGTTCGATACCCAGTAAAAGCCAAAATGCCGGGTACTGTTTTTCAAGGCAACAACAATATTTTACATCAGTGTAGCAATTTTAATCTCGGTTCTAATTTCTTCAGAATTGCTTTGGAATGTGCTGAAGTAAAATCAGTAAATAGGGTGGCTAAAAACAGTGATTAAGAAGAAGAAGAAGAAGAAGAAGAAGAAGAAGAAGAAGAAGAAGAAGAAGAAGGAGGAGGAGGAGGAGGAGGAGGAGGCGGAATGTGATGAAATAAAACAAAAAAATTCGGACTGAAACTAAAAATCGCTGAAGTATTGGAAGTGAATCTAAAAATCACAAATAAAAACAAAATAACAAAATAGTAAAGTGATGAAATTATAAAGATAAAAGGAAAAATATAAAATGTAATGGAAGAAAAATGAAATGAAAGAGAAAACATAGATTCGAAACTAAGTGAAAATGTAAGGAAAAAAATAAAATATTAAAATTAAAAGTAAAAAAAAAGAGACGACAATAAATTCAAAGAATTGAGTAAATAGAAAAGCAGAAAAATAGAAACTTATCCTATTTTTCTTCTTTAATAGTTTTAAGCTAAGTGCGAGGTTGTGATACTTCTGTATATAGAATTCGCATACGCGTAATATTTGAGTTGATGTTAGATGATAATTTATGTCATTGTTGAAATTCTAAAAGTGTTGACAGTTTTACGAGTGAGTGGTGAAAAAATCACGATGTGGCATGATTTTTGTCTTGGATAGCAATTCTTATTTCCTAATTGCTTATGCCTAGAAAATATAAACAATTGTTAATACTTCAATCAAACTTTGCTTCTCTGAGAAAGATAATGATGTTTATGAAACTGACCTTTTCCCACTGGAAAAAACTAGCGAATATGACCATTCTCGTTAAAGCAAATTAGGAAAAAAAAAAAAACATCACATGATTCAAATGAAGAAAAAAACAAAAATGTAAAAATGAATTGTTATTCACGATTTACGCTTATAGTCGAAATTATTTTCAGGAAGCATCAGGTTTTTGTTATACGATCTTTGGTAGCCAGAATTTTCAGGAAATTGTTGAAACTTTTAGAAACTTCTCGAAAGTTCTTGTAAAATCTAGAAAGTTCTAGAAAATACTCCTTCAGCTATTCACTGCTGAATCAGTCAGGAAAATAATCGGACCAAAGCATCGATGTCCAGGTCAAAAAGTAATGTTTGCTGGCAATAATTGTGATGACAATTCTAGATAGAAGCAATTTAGAAATAACACTTACTGAAAAAAAGTCCAAAAATTAAAATTACGTTACACAGTGCTTTCAGACCCACATCCTAAATTCTGATCAAACATTAGGATTTTTATGAAAGTGCGGTTTAGAAATTTTCATCAAAATCCTCGTAACAACGTTCTAAATGGAAGCATTTTCACGGGTTTGGGGAATATTCCATATGAACGCAATATAGGCAAATGCACACATTTATATAAAACCTTAAAATATAATCACGCAGAATACTCCAAAAATTAGGACTTAAGATACACCATCCCAAAACAGAAATTGTTATCTAGAATTGGAATGAAAACAGTAAGAATACATATCCTCTATCCATCATCAACATTCACAACGTGGAATTAATAAATATAAAACATTCAAAATGATGATTTGTCCAACTAAAAGTTGCCACAAAATATAGAAATCAGTTCTTAAGTAAGCATGCCATGCCTAATAGATACGATACATGACGAAATACTTGTTCATAAACAGTCTGCTACATACAATCATTCTATCAAATTAATGATTAAACAATGAATTTAAGCGAATTAAACCGGTTAGTGTCAGTAACATTCGTTATTACTCGTAGACTGGTGCCACAGATTCACAAAGAATTTTACTAATAACTTAAAACTTATAATCTGAATTCGATATTCCAAAAATGCGTTTTCTCAATGTTGTTCCAGATTTTACTAAGTTTATACGTCTCAAATCGAGGAAACACTAAGTGTATATATACTTACAAAGAGATTAAACTTGAGCCATTTTAGTGTACTTGGTACTCGCTTGATCATTTTTATACCCAAATGCTTAAATATATACAGGAGTATGCTCGGAAAGAATCCAGCTTGCCAAACCGTGACGAAATTTGAATTTCTCA